CTGTTGTCTCTGAGCCATCAATAAGTTATTATATTTATTTATGTTTGGTTACTGTGTCCTAGCTTCTTGTTTTGTTTTGATATGCCCAAATAGGCTGCTCATGTGATCTGAGTCACTAGCACCCCTGAAGCTCCAATGTCCTGCCACCAGGTAGCCAAATCTGCCACTAAGTATGTGAGCCCAGGAGTCTACCCACTCCTCCTGTATGGATTCAGCTCAGGTGTCCAGGTAGTCAGCCACCAACCATGTGGTGCAGGCTGTCACTACAGTTCCAGACAGCTATGGGTGATTGGTGTAGTCACAGGCATCCAGCTGCAGCAGGGGGACGACGGCCACCCCCGAGTGTCCAAGAGGAAAGTGTTTCCCTGTTCCCTAGAGCGCGTAGATGGGTGGATTTTGCATCCGGACTATGAGCATCCAGTGCTGTTGGCTGTAAGGACTAGGGGGCACCTCTTATTCTTGGGCCACTGTCACAGGTGGCTAGGTGGTGTGGGTGGAGCCACCAGGCCTCAGGTCCCTGATGTGGGTAGGTGAAGACCCAATTAATGAGCAGAGCAGTGTCAAATGTCACAAACCTGCCACTTCACAGCTGAAACAGTTGAAGTTAGACTTCAGGTATATACCCCGTGTACTGCAGTAATGAGGGCCTACCCTGCTGAAATGGGCCCACACAAGTCTACGTAGGGGGAAGGGCACTGAAAGTTCGTGGATCCCTTATGTCTGTGCGTAGGCAAAGGAGTTGTGCCTACCCTGAATTCCTGGCTTAGGGGAGCTGGCAGATTATTTTTTCCCGTTTGTTAATTTGTTCACTCTCCAAGCCTGGGAGAATGGTTCAGGGGGTGTACTGGGTCCTACTTCCAGCCCAGGTGACTCGGCAATTGCTGAAACTGGTTCTGGACCCAGTGCAGAGTAGGGAACACGGAGGTAAATGGGAGAGAGGTTTTTCCCTAAGGGGGCTGTTTTTGATCCATGAGTTGAGCCAGACACAAGCACTTATCTTTTGCCAATCGAGGGCTGCTTCTCATTGATTCTGGATGGCCAAGTAGATTCTCTGCCACTGGGTCTCTCTCGATGTGCAAAATGCCTCCTGAGCACCACTGCTTGCCTTCCTCACCACACACTCTGAGCTGATCAGGCCTGAAGTGCTCACGCTCTCACTGGTTCTGGTCTGGCAACTCCTCGCTGCTTCCAAACCATCTTTCTCTCCCCTGCCACTCAGTCCGATTCCTCAACTTTGTCTTTGATGTTCAGGGCTCCTAGATGGTTATATATAATTGATTCAGTTGTTTTTTCAGGTCTTTGTTGTAAGAGAGACAACTGGAAGTTTGTGACTACTCTGCCATCTTGGCACTGCCTCCTGTTCTTGTATTATTTTATGAGGTAACCTTAAACTTTAAATTTTTTGATTCACATAATTTTTCTTGACTGTCATTTCTTCATCCTTCCTGTTTGAAGCTGACCTTCTTTGGCAGATAAAATGTAATCATGTTGGCTGGTGTAGAGCATGCATTTTGGGGGATTAGATAATGTTAGAAAGGTTGGTTAGGGTTGGGGAATGGAGATGACTGGATGATGGACAGATTGGCTTTTATCTTTTAGGCAATGGAGAGAGAGCCAGGGAGTAACATGATGGAATACCAGTAATCTATGTAAGAATGTTATTATAGCTGTGGTATGCCTTTAAATATCTGACTTGGAAGAAGTACAGCCAGAACTCTCCTTGGAAGGGAGGATGGCAAGACTTCATCTTCACATACTTTGGACATGTTATCAGGAGGGACCAGTCCCTGGAGAAGGATATTGTGCTTGGCAAAGTAAAGGGCCAGCAAGAAAGAGGAAGATCCTCAATGACATGGATTGACACAGTGGCTGCAACAATGGGCTCAAGCAAATAACGATTGTGAGGATGGCACAGGACCAGGCAATGTTTTGTTCTGTTGTACGTTGGGTCGCTATGAGTTGGAACTGACTCGATGGCACCTGACAACAACAACATGCAGTTAAATGGAAAATTAATGATTTTTATTTCTTTCTCTCTGTGAAAGCCTGAGATTTGGGATCAGAAAGTGAAAAACACAATTTCTAAGGTTTAATAGGGATAACTATAGTCAAATGTAGTTTTTTAAAATCATACATTTATTCCTGATTTGGAAGATCTTCCTAGAAACGGAAGAATAAAAATATTTTATTAGACAATATGTCATTATTGATTTATATGTGAATAGGTGAAGAATAGTGCACATATATTCACAAAATTTCCAAGTAATAAATTATTACAGAACTTAACTGAGTAGTTAAAGGGCTATTTGAATGTATATTTAAAATAAACCACACCAGAATTTATCTCACCACAAGACAAATGACTGCCAGTCATAAGACAAGAGTGGACTTATGACCTACATGATGAAAATAAAACAAAAAATAAAGTGAAGTCATGGTACCAGCCAGAAAAGGTTTTTTCCTAATCCCTCAGATGAATGCAAACAGTAGAACTAAAAAGTAAGGTTAGTACCAGGACAAGTGGTCAACTTAATTATTTTTCAACTTGTTCTTAATGTGAATATAAACCAACTTCTGATGGTTAAGATTGTGTGTCAACTTGGCTGGGCCACGATTCTCAGTGTTTATATGTGATCACTCCCATGATGAGATCTGCTGTGAGGAGCCAATCAGTTTAAAGAGAGTTTCCTTGGGCATGTGGCCTGCATCTGAATATAAAAAGACATTCTGCCTTTTTGTTCACTCTGGATCCTGTGGCTGCCTCCTGTTCATCCGACCTCTGGTTCTTGGGACTTGAGCTATCAGCTTATCTGCTGATCTTGGGATCTGTCGATCTTCACAGCCTGTTGAGCGAGAGCCCTGCTCTCTGACCTGCATATCTTGGGTTCGACAGTCCCTGCAGCTATGTGAATCAGGAGAAGCCTTGTGGTCTTGTCTGCCAATCTTGGGATTCATTGATCTTCACAGCCTGTGAGCAAGGGCCTTGCTTTCCAACCTGCCGATCTTGGGTTCAACAGCCCCTGTGGCTACATGAATCGGGAGAAGCCCCTATCTGATCCATGGACTTGGGACATTCCAGCCTCTACAATCATGTGAGCTGTTTCCTTGATATAAACCTCTCTCTATGTATATATTTATACGCTTTACTAGTTTTGCTTCTCTAGAGATCCCAGCCTAAGACACAACTCAATTCAAATTTTAGTAATTTAAATTGGACTTTGGTAGTAGAGATCATCTGTTTTTTTCCATCTAAAACTCCTTTAGTTTTAAATTGATAGCATTATGACCAGGAGCAGTGGAGTTAGGGACACATTTAAAGAGGTCACCATTTGTAAACCCCATTACAACTTTTCCCTGTAGGAGAGTGATAAAACTGCAATAATCACCAACATTAATCAGATTTAAGCATGATGAAATATAAAGACACTTTTCTAGTGGGAAGGAAGATAAGTAACAAAGATTAGAAGAATTTAGTAATGTTTGCTATTCAATGTGAATAAAATAAAGCCTACTCACTTTCCGTATATATTTATTTACATTCTTTGCCTATTTGCTCCATACACAAATATTTATTGAGCACCCACAATGTGTTAGGTACCGTATGAGGCACTGAAAATATATTAATAAATGAGACAGACGGTCACAGTCCTTAAGGAGCTTACACATTCTACTGGGGAGGGTGGACAAAAACATCTATAAAATAATTTCAGATAATGATAAACACTACAAAGAAAGTGAAGTGGGATAAGAGGATAGAGAATTACGGGTTACAGTTAGGGGGATATCCATATATAAGACTGGGAAAATTTTAGACTTTGAAATTCCTTTACCTGACCACTAGAGGTGATGAAAATATTCCTTACTGACAATGAACCCACATTTTGTCCTCAACCTGATTCCCACTTGCTTAACCCTTCTCGTTCTTCCGATTACTTCTTGAGATCATTCCTTTCTTTTTCTACCTTAGTTTGTCTTCTACACGTGTAACCATTGTCTTGGTATCCTTTCTCATTAAGAATGTTTCTAAGATTACAATTCTAGTGATGTATGTAGAAAGTTTCTTAAATGATGAATGACTCTGACAAGTATATCATGGTAAAGAATAAAGATAAAAATAGTTTACATAGAAATTATTTGTGGACTTAGAGAAACCTAGAAAATAATAAGTACTGATTTTGGTGTATGTGTGTATATGTGTGCTGGTGGGAAGATGGGTACAGGGAATAGGGAAACATTTTACATTCAAGGAAACAGCTTAAAACAAAGAGTTGCAGCAGTACATTTCCACTGGGAATTGCACACAGGGATGTGTTCATACATCATGTATTTTCTAAGATCCAGAGCTTCAAAAGTCACATTATTGTGAGTGAGAAACTAGGCAACTACATCTTGTTTTAAAATATTAACTTATATATAGTAGTGATTTTTTTAAAAAGTGCATTATGACAGAATAATTTTTCATGAAAACTTATAAAGATTGTTACAACTTTAGAAAAATATATGGAATATGACGGTATAGAAAATTATATTAAATGTTTTTTAAAGTATCAAAAATCTGTACTAATAAATTGAACTTTTATTGCCCAAATAAGACATAAGAATATTAAATATACATATATATACTTTTGGTATAGTACACTGGTTAAAAGCAAAGTTTTGGATCCAGACAACTTCATATCCTGGCTCTACCACTCACTGGCTATATAACCTTGGGCAACTTAACTCTGTGTCTTAGCTTCTTCATCTCTAAAATGGGGATAATAATACTACCTACCTTTCAGAGTTGTTTTTAGGATTGTTTAGAAAATACCTGACACTAAGCACTCACTCAAAGTTGGCTATTAATTCTTCTTATTTATTTATAAATTACACATGTATACAACAATATTATTAAGAGTTTGGAAAACACAAGAAAAGAAAAATAATCACCCTTACTCTGCTATATTAACACATCTATTAATTCTTAACCAACATTATTCCCTAGAGATAAGAATACTTACTTTTAGGAAAACCTGCAGATCTTGAGTCTGAGTGTGCTGTAGAATGTCTTGCTGCAGATGTTTGAATATAGCTATACAGATATACACCTGATAATCAGGACCAAGGAAAATACAAGTAGCAATATAATGGCAGACTTCTATCCAATCTAAATAATTCCAAAAACACTGAGTTATCCATTGCAGGCAAATCTAAGGGGGGAGAAAATGACTTCATTAGAAAGCATACAAAACCATATTTAACTTTTAAAAAGCAGTAACCAATAACTTACACAAAACCAATGAAAAGCCTAACATTTAATCAAAATAGAAAGACACTCTGTATAGAAGATTAAAAGGATGCCTCATCTATTTGCTTAATGTATGAAAAAACTTTCATGGCCTTGGGACTCTGAACTTAGGGGTAACTGATGGTATTCACACTGCTCTTGCATCTATTGCTAAATGTATTCTTTACTCATATTGTCCTCCTCTTACTCATAATACCAGTCTGTGCTCTACAGCTAACAAATGCTAAGAGACTATTTTAATTCAGAGATGGGAGTTTTTCTATCCTACCTATAATCACAGATATATAATTATGCAGATGACAGATTGCTAAATGTTACATTAATGCAAATGGACTCCTGTTAAATCAGAAAAAAATATAAACCAAACATAATTATATAACAAAAAATTGGGAGCTAATGTAGAGAATAATTAAAAAATGATACTTTTAAAAAAAGAGGGTTTTTTCTGTCTTCTCATTTATCTTTTTTTTAATAGTATTTGTTCAGATTATAAAAGCAATACTTGCCAATTATGAAAAGCACAGAGAAGTTTAAGAAAAAATAGCAGTAACATAGAGATCAATATTATTAAAATTTTTGGTACATTATTTTCCATTATTTTAATTTACACTTAAATTACAAACTACCATTGAGGAAAGACTCCCTTTCTGAGAAGAAACAGCTGCAAATATCCATTAACAATAGGAACATGGAATATACAAAGTATGAATCTAGGAAAATTGGAAGTCATCAAAAATGAAATGGAACACATAAACATAGACATCCTAGTCATTAGTGACATGAAATGTACTGGTATTGGCAATTTTGAATTGGACAATCATATGGTATACTATAGTGGGTGTCATGGATTGAATTATGTCCCCCCAAAAATGTGTGTATCAATTTGGCTGGGCCATGATTCCCAGTATTGTGTGATTTTCCCATGTGTGGTAAATCCTGCCTTTATGATGTTAATGAGGGAGGATGGGCGGCAGTTGTGTTAGTGAGGCAGGACTCAATTTACAAGACTGGATTGTGTCCTGAGGCAATCTCTTGAGATATAAAAGACAGAAGTGAGCAGTGAGACAGGGGGACCTCATACCATCAAGAAAGCAGTGCTGGGAGCAGAGCGCGTCCTTTGGACCGGGGTCCCTGGGCAGAGATGCTCCGAGTCCAGGGGAACACTGAAGAGAAGAAGGCCAACAGAGAAAAAGCCTTCCCCTGGAGCTGATGCCCTGAATTTGGACTTTTAGCTTATTTTAACTGTGAGGAAATAAACTTCTCTTCGTTAAAACCATCCACTCGTGGTATTTCTGTTACAGCAGCACTAGATGACTAAGACACTGGGAATGACAAATTGAAGAGGAATGGCATTGCATTCATCGTCAAAAAGAACATTTCAAGATCTATCCTGAAGTACAACTTTTTCAGTGACATGATAATATCCACACACCTACAAGGAAGACCAGTTAATATGAATATTCATTCAAATTTACATATGAATCACTAATGCTAAAGATGAGGCAACTGAAGATTTTTACCAACTTTTGCAGTCTGAAATTGATCAAACATGCAATCAAGATGCATTGATAATTACTGGTGATTAGAATGCGAAAGTTGGAAACAAAGAAAAAGAAACAGTAGTTGGAAAATATGGCCTTGGTGACAGAAACGATGCCAGAGATCACATGACAGAATTTTGCAAGTGAACTTCACTGCAAATACCTTTTTTCATTAACATAAACGGCGACTATACACATGGACTTCACCAGGTGGACTACATGAGAATCTAACTGACTATATCTTTGGAAAGAGATGATGGAAAAGCTCAATATTATCAGTCAGAACAAGGCCAGGGGCCTTGGATACCTGGCCAACCAACTGGAAAAGATCTATATTTATGCCTATTCCAAAGAAAGGTGATCCAACCGTGTCTTAGTCATCTAGTGTTGTTATAACAGAAATACCACAAGTGGATGGCTTCAACAAACAAGAAGTTTATTCTCTCACATTCTAGTAGGCTACAAGTCCAAATTCAGGGCATTGGCTCCAGGGGAAGGTTTTCTTTTCTTGGCTCTGGAGGAAGGTTCCTGTCATCAATCTTCCCCTGGTTGAGGAGCTTCTCAAAGCAGGGAACCCAGGTCCAAAGGACAAGCACTCCTGGCTCTACTTTCTTGGTGGTATGAGGTAGCCACGTATCTCTGCTCGCTTGTCTCTAAAGAGATTGGCTTAAGACACTATCTAATCTTGTAGATCTCATCAATATAACTGCTGCTAATCCATCTTATTAACATCATAATGATAGGATTTACAACATATAGGAAAATCTCATCAAATGACAAAACAGTGGATAATCACACAATACTGGGAATCATGGCCTAACCAAATTGGCACACATTTTGGGGGAACACAATTCAATCCATGATAAACAGTATGTGGAAATTATCAAACAATATCATTATTATTAAATGCAAGTAAAATTTTGCCAAAGATCATTGAAAAATTGTTGCAGCAGTACATCAACAGGGAGCTGCTAGAAATTCAAGCTGGATTCAGAAGAGGATGAGGAAACCGGGATATCACTGCTGATGTCAGATGGATCCTGGCTGAAAGCAGAGAATATCAGAAAGATGTTTACCTGTGTTTCATTGACTATGCAAAGCCATTTGACTTGTGGATCATAACAAATTATGGATAATATTGCAAAGAATGGGAATTCCAGAACACTTAATTGTGCTCATGAGGACCTGTACATAGTTAAGAGGCAGTCGTTTGAACAGAACAAGGGGATACTCTGTGGTGTAAAGTCAGAAAAGGCATACGTCAAGGTTGTATCCTTCCACCATACTTATTCAGTCTACATGCTGACCAAATAATCAGAGAAGCTGGACTGCAGGAAGAAGAACGGGGCATCAGGATTGGAGGAAGACTCACTAACAACCTGTGTTATGGAGATGACACAACCTTGCTTACTGAAAAAAAAAAAAAAGGACTTGAAGCACTTCCTGATGAAGATAAAAGACCACAGCCTTCAGTATGGATTACACCTCAATGTAAAGAAAACAAAAAGCCGGGGGCAGGGGGGTGGGCAAGATGGCAGAGTAGTCAGACGCTTCCGGTATTCCCTCTTACAACAAAGACCCAAAAAAACAAGTGAATCGATTATATATGACAGTCTAGGACCCCTGAACATCAAAAGCAAAATTGAGGAACCAGACTGAGTGGCAGGGGGAGGGAGAGACAGTTCGGAAGCAGCGAGGAGTTGCCAGACCTGACCTGATGAGAGCCTGAGCTGCTCAGCCCGGCTCAGGTCAGGGGTGAGGGGTGAGGAGGGCAAGCAGCAGCGATTGGGAGGCGTTTTCCACATCGGGAGAGACGCAGTGGTAGGGAGTCTACTCAGCCATCCAGAACCAGTGAGAAGAAGCCCTCAATCGGTGAAAGATAAGTATCTCCGTCAGGCCTACTGCCTGGATCAAAAACACCCCCCTTTGGAAAAAACCTCTCTCCCATTTACCTCCCCACTGCCTGCTCTGCACCGGGTCCTGGACCAGCTTTAGCAATTGCCGAGTCCTCTGGGCTAGAAATAGGACCCGTCACGCACCCTGAGACATTCTCCTGGCCTTGGAGAGTGCACAAATTAACAAACAGGGGAAAAAAATAATCAGCCAGCTCCCCTAAGCCAGGAACTCAGGGTATGCACAGCTACTTTGCCTAGGCACAGGCATAAGGGATCCATGGACTTCAAGTACCTTTCTCTCTGCATAGATTTGTGTTGGGCTCATTTCAACAGCGTAGGCTCTCATTACTGTAGTACAACAGGGTATATACCTGAAGTCTAACTTGAACTGTTTCAGCTGTGAAGTGGCAGGTTTGTGACATTTGACACGCTCTGCCCATTAGGCAGGGTTTTCACCTACCCACATCAGGGGACGGAGGCCTGGTGGCTCCACCCTCGCCAGCTAGCCACTTGCTACGGGGACAAGAATAAGAGATGCCCCCCAGTCCTTACAGCCAACAGCATTGGGTGTTCATAGCCTGGTTGCAAAACCCAACTACCTACATGCTCTAGGGAACAGGGACACACTTTCCTCCTGGACAAGTGGGGGTGGTCATCAGCCCACTGCCTTGCTCACCCTGTGTCCCTCTGCTGCATGCCTCTGCCTATGCCAATCACTCATGCCTGTCTAGAACTGTAGGTGAGAGCCTGCACCACACACTCAGTGGCCGACTACTGGACACCTGAGCTGAATCCATACAGGAGGAGTGGGTAGACTCCTGGGCTCACATCTTAGTGGCAGGTCTGGCCACCTGGGGGCAGGACATTGGAGCTTCAAGGTTGCTGGTGACTAGGCTAGCTCACACAAGCATGCTATTTGGGCATATCAAAACAAAACAAAACAAGAAGTTATGATACAGTAAGCAAACATAAAATAAATACATATAAAAACTTACTGATGGCTCGGAGACAAGTCAATATCAAATCACATAAACAGGCACTCCATGATAGCTTGAGCAAACTCTCAAAATAAAGCATCTAAATATTTTCCAGAGGAAGAAAATTTCTTGGAATTACCAGAGGCAGAATAAAAAGATTAATTACACAACTCTTCAAGAGATTAGGAAGAAAATTAAGCAAAACACACAACACGCAATACATGAAAGTAAAAGGATTAGAGAAGAGCATAATGACAAATTTAACAGGCTGCAAGAATCCATAGAGAGACAGCAATCAGAAATCCAGGAGATTAACAATAAAATTTCAGAATTAGACAACTCCATAGAAAGTCATAGGAGCAGAATTGAGGCAATGGAAGTCAGAATTAGTGAGATTGAAGAT